TGTCTACCAATCTTTAGACAAAATTTCCATCTATAAACTTATTAAGTGTTTATTTTTTAATAAATTTCTAACTCTTTAGTCTTTTTCTAAAACCCATAATTAAATGAGAGTTTTTTAACAAAATCGAGTAATTGTTTCTGTAAAGCTATTCTACGAAATCTAAATTATAGTTAATACTAAACCCTATTTAATTTTCCATTCATCATTTTTTTATTTATCAATAAAGATTTAATCCTATTGATTTGATTTGACTTCATATTCCTCATCGTTTTCTTGTAGGTATATTTTTTTAGTTAATTAAACAAGTTAATCCTGATTAAAATAAATTTCCTTGAATTCCCACTTAGATATTATTAACTTTTCTTTTGTTTCAACCATTAACTTAAAGAGAAAATCAACAATATTTGTTGATTAACTATTATTGTTGTCTGATTATTTTTCACTCTACAATGCGTTGATTTAAATTCTTGAAAAGTATTCTTTAATTGATTCTTTTTCCTATTATTCTAAATTAGCAGTCGTGCATAGCGATTCCTTAATTTGGTTTATATGTTTTTAACAACAACTAGAAAAACTTGTATACATTTCATAGTAACATTCTTGTAGAGTAAAATTTCTAACATTTAACAGCAATTTCTACAACCTTTGCTTCACCTCACTTGTTTTTATTAGTAATTTTTATAGAATGTTAATAATGATTGATAAATTTGTTCTAATTTTGTTTTAGACATTATATTCGTCCTAAACAATTTTATAATCATCTTTATTGTTCTGATAATCATATTTTTTTTTAAATTCATCAAATTTTTATTTTAACTCATTTACTCTTTGAAAAATTGGCATTTGGAAAAATTCTAGGTCTTGGTTAATGGAAGCTCTCAATATTTTAACAACCATTTAGATCTGACTGATTAGGAATTTAAGTTCTTCTACCACTTCACAATTATCTTATAAGTTGATTTTTCTTAATTATAATAGTAATTTCTCATACTTTTCTCTCTCAATATCCAATTAATTTTAATTAAGATTTTTACTAGTAACAGTGTCTATTGAAAAGTCATTTATAATTTTCATAATTCTTTCAGTAGGAGTTAAAGGAGCAGTTTCTTCGATAGATATTTCTCCAAATTCCTTTTCGATTAATTCTAAATCTATTCTTTCCATTTCAATAATTTACTCTTCTAGAGTTAATTTAAATATAAGATAATCTAAAATTCCTTTTTATATCGCTAAATTATTTTAATAGTCTTGCTCAGTAATTTATAAGTTACTTAATTCTGTAATAGTTTATTTATAAAATTAACTGTCACAACAAATTATTCGTTTTGGATAATTCTTAACTACATCATGTAGAAACTCATCCAAATTGATAAAGTTTTTTAACTATTACAATTCTAATGGTATGTTTAATGTATTTAAAAAACATTCTCTGAAAGCAATTAATTGTAGTTTAATCTTTAAAGTGTTCAATCTTTATTTTTGTAGAAATTAAAATGAAAGTCTGCAAAACTATTGTTATTTAATTTCTTTTAATTTTTCGGGTAGAGAAACAAACTCTATTTCATATTGTAACATTAGAATTGTCTTAAAACTAAAAAGTAATTCATAAAAGTCTTTTTGAAGTTCTTAGATCTGGTGTTCATAATAACAATTTAGGTTATTCAATAACATTTAAAAGTATTTAATTACGTTATCCTTGTTAATTAACGAAATTTCGAGCTCCTAGATTGATTTTCCAGTTTGTTAAATAAGTTTTAACATGAATTGAGCTTCTTTCAAAAAACTTTTCTAATTTAGGGTAGCATTAGGCAGGGCAAGTAGCTTTTACTTCAACTTACTAGCAAAAGAAAATTATTTATCTGTTAGATTTAAATGTTATAATTCCTTCTAAATCAGCTCTATCTCTTACTAAAACATTATGCTTTCATCTGGTTCATTTCTCTAATCATTAATATCTTAAATTTTTGATGATAATATTTACTCTAAGAGTCTCATAATATATCTAAGCTTTGAAAATATTTCTAATTCATTCATCTTTTTCTATTCAAGTTAATCAATCTCAAAATCATCTTTCCTTTAACTAATCCTCATCATTTTAATGATTTTTAGAGTGTTTTGAAAATATTCTTTAAAATTTAGAATCATATTTTTTAATTATGAATTATACGTAGCTTATTCAATTGCGACATTATAATACTAATTTTTTTGGATAAAATTTTTATAATTTTTAACAACTACTCCTAATCTCTCATCATTTTCCTAAATTAGTGCTATTAATTTAGTTGAAATGATGAAATCAAAAAATTGTTTAATTTTTTAAACTGCCAAAAAAGTAAGATTTTCTTATATTTCTATACTTTCTAATTCTAATTTTAAATAAGAACCAAATGTGAAATAGATATTATCTTTTTTTTCATTCATTAAGAATTCTTTTAGCAACATAAGGTTTTCCCATTCTTTGAAGGAGTCTTCTAGTATTAATTTATCAATTTAAGTTATTTATTTATTTTTAAATGAATTAAGTAAAATTAAAGCTTAATCTTTGCTATGATTCATTTAAATCAGAAATCCTTTGTTCATATATTCCTTCCATTTGGCTTCAAGATTAAAAGAGCTAGCCAGCTTTAGTTTTTGTTTGGTTATTAGAGGGTTATAGATTAAGATTTTTCCAATCATTTAGATCCACAAAAAATGATTTTACCAATTACTTGAATTTTTTACAAGTTTTTAATGAGTTTTCTCAATTTATATAATTATTTCTTCCAAATTCTGTTAGCTGTCATTTTTAAAATTATTTATAATCTCCCATTGCAACATATCAATTTAAAAATATACTTCATATTATTCTCTATTTTTTTAAACTGTATACTTATTGTAAAGTAAGCAGGCTCCATGATACAATTACATAAACAATTCAGTATTAGGTTTCATATCAAATATTGAGTTAAAGATACCATTTAGGCAACCATTTAAAATATCATCCCTATCTTTACCATCATTTGGGGCGATCTGGAAAGAAGTTTTTGTTAAGAAAACGTAAAGTTCCAATTCAGTATGAATTAAATCATTCTTTTCTATTTCCATTTATTATCTTAATTCATCACAAATATCCACAAATTGCTTTTATGTATCACAGTTCATAAATCTCTAATCCTTTCTTATATGGAAGCTAAATATCACTTTAGATAGAGAAGCTGTCGTCCTTAAGATGAATAAACATTTAAATGAATCTGTTCTGACATAGATCAAACAACTTTTCAATAATTTTAGGATTCCATCTATAAGTAAGTTGTATGATTTCAAAACCTTTTAGGCATTCTTGATGAGTTTATAAATGTTTTCCTCTTAAAAAATAAACCACTATATGGCTATCATTATTTCTTAAGCTTCTGATTGATTAGCAGCAACAGCTGCTTTAGAGTAAATCGTTTAGACAAAATAATCAAATCTAGTAATGAAATTTTCTATGTCTTAAATATCAGACTTTAAGACTATTTCTGTGTTGGGTATTGTTTTAATAGAGCCACAACCACCTCCACGTAATTAGGATGTTATCTTATTCAATCGGCCTGACATTTAATAAAAATTTAAATAATAAATCAACGCCGGTATAAAAAAGTTTATAAATTCACAACAAATACAAATATATTTTGTTAATAATTTAATGAAAAAAATTATGTTAAATAACATATAAATAATTTATTAACATAAATTTTAAATACATTATTACTTTTTCAGACCAAAGTTCTCGTTTTTTTAGCTACTACATCCATCTGCAAGATAACTTTAGCTAGTTAGCAATAACATCTGTGAATTATGCAAAAATCTAACATTTTCCAGCAGGTAAAACATCCACAAGTTCCATCAGTTCCGACAGCACAAGAGGTCTTTAATTATATGCTTGTATATGATGTAATAGGGATGTAAATAGCTCCATTAGTTGTGCATTATGGTGAAAATACTTAACATTCAGGATGGGTCTTTTCCATTGCAGCTTTATATTCTTCATAATCATATCATTATATATAAATCCAAAGACATGGTTCAGCGCTAAGAATTATCTATTGGCAAATTCAATACTTTAGGCTCAAAGCCAAATAACCGAATCCATTTGTTGTACATCCTGAAAGAAAGTATAATATTCACCATCAGTTAAGCCATTTTTGTATCACTGCAAACTTTATCTTTGCATTTATTTATTGTTGCATCCCAAACACATCTTGCTACTCCATTTTTATGTGTTAAGTCAGCCACAAACAATTAAGTCTTGTATGATGAACATATTGAAATAGTTATGCATCTAGCAGAAGAAATAGTACAATTTCCAGCAAGGTGTTAATGTTAAGCATGTGAATTTACTGTTGCGATTGTACTTAAACTCTAAATTTTGAATTAGATTATTACCAAGCTAAGAACTTACCATTTACTTTGGATTTTACATCAAGAGTAATTCGTAGTATGTAAAGTAGAACATGATCCACTAACTACTGAACATTAGCTTGCCCAATATCATTCATCTCTTATATTGCATAGAGTCTCCTATTTCAAATAGTTAAATTATTTAGTACTTTTGTATCCATAACCAGATGTCTAACAATTTTTCGGATGCTTCTGATAATTGGTATCAGTTGCAAGAGTATTGAGTGTTTCTGTAAATTCTCTATTAACACATGTTCCTTTATTTGCTTGGACAATTTTAGACAAATATATTGCCCTGTCTATTAAGTTCCATTGAAACATTACAAAGTTTTCCATAATAAATACATGAAGTTCCATCAAAGACACACAAAGGATCATTAATTGTTATAAATTGTGGCTTACCATCATTACATTCTTTTTTGTGTTTACCTGAAATATTCCTGCACTTCTTCTTAACACAATCTGATGTATTAAAGATCCCTTAAATTTGAACAAGCTGCTTAATCTCCCTTAAATGCAGAGAATGACCTATGTTGAGCCAACACATCCAATACTGTTATTTTTATAACATTTCAGATGAGTGCACATTCAGCATCGGTTATAGCTGAAGTGTTTCAACACTACTTCTTACTTTGCATTTACTAGTTGCAGTATCTCCAGCATCCTTAGAACTTTATTCATAAGTGGTATTCTTATTAGTATCCAGTCCAATATATTTTTTTAATAATTTCATAATTATTTAGTACCTCTGTATGATGTGCATGGTTTTATATTTGGAACACTTCCTTTACCACGAGTAACACATCGACTTAAATAAGAATCACATTCAGAATCAGTTGTTACTGTAATATTTTCATAACCTGTTTATTTTTTTAAATGCTGAAGTTAAGGTAGTAGCAGTTGTTATCGGTCTGCATCTTTCGCGTTGAATCTAACACAATTTGCTTATGTCCTACATTTTGAAGCAGCAGCATTAGTACTTGCATATTTATCAGTTAATTTAATTGCCCAATTTTTAATAATAATTTCCTCCAATAAATGTATTCTTATTTTTGCTACTATTCGTCAATGTAGTACAAAAATACTTAGTTTGTAGTTACACTATAAAGATAACAATCATTATAAATAACGCATGCTGTTCCTAATATGTAAGTGCATGTAGTTGCAGCATTGAATTCATCAAAATAAACTTTGGCATTTCCATTTTAAGTAGTGACAGATGTAAATCTTACTCCTGATTAAAGCATTTCCTAAAAGGTAAATATATGGCTTTCCTGGTGCTCCTCAATCGGAATCTTCTTGAGTTTTAGGTTGTTATTTACTTTAGCAATAAAAATCTATACATGCAATATTAGCAGCTATGAAAACACATTTTTTCCAATTGCGTAAATTTTGCTTAAACCATATTTTTATTTATCAAAATCATAAGTGGTTGGAAATACATATCAGTCACAATCACCACCATCCTTACATTAAGTTGGAGCTCCTGCTGCTTTACAATACATTATTTTATCAGGTAAATAAACTGATTAACAAAATTCTACCTTTAAAGCTGCTGACAACCCTGAATCTTTACTTACTTTATTGATACAGTCATTAATTGCAAATACACTTGTTTCTGATGCACAAAATATAGTATTATATTAGATACATCCAGTAATATAATTATTACAATCTCTTTAACTAGTAAGTGAAGGGATATCTGCACATATTGCACCATTAAAAACTATATTGAATGTTGTAGCTGTATTTATACAGAATTTAGTTCTATCTATGGTTGTAAGGGCTAAACAATATGTAGGTTTTAATGCAGGTATAACACCAGAATTTGCATTAGTGGCTTATAAAATTTAGTTTTATCATTCTCTAAGTTTCAATAATCAGTAGTTTATTTTATACTTTTGCCATAAAGAGATATTTATGAATATGTTGTAAATTTACTTGGGATTTTTGTAAGAAAATTACCTGTAGTAACAGCAGTATGAATTTTCCTCTACAATATATGTATTCTGTTTTATAAACCTTGCATTCTACTAAACTTTAAGCTGAATAAAAATCTGAACAAGCTGAAATGGTATGCGAAATAAAGACACTTTTTTTAGACTGTTGTTCCTTTAGCAATTTTAGTTACATCAATAACAACCTTGAATCCCCAACACTATTCTTACTTTTTAATTTTAGACAAAGCCTAATCAATTTTATAGTATGTAAAAGCAGTTGATAACGTTAAATATGTTGAATCTGTACTTTTAATATATTCCCGCAGATATAAAGAGAGATTAATCATAAAAGGTTTTTGCATCTTTTAGATGTTTAATTGTTCATAACTATTCTATAATTTACATTTAGTATCACATGATTTAAATGCACATATCGCTCCTTTTAGAGAAATCAATTATATATATATTTATTTTTTAAAGATATATATATCGGTAGATTAGGAAATAGTTTTGACTTTTGAAATGATTTTTATGAAGACTTTTCTATTTATGATTACTTATTTTAAGAATTTAATGAAGGCTGAAATTGTTTATCTCTAATAAGTTGATTAAATATAATATTAGAATTAAAGTTATTTTTATTTTTTTGTTTACATTACATGAAAATTTAAGGGTTCTTCTAGAAATAAAAATCGTTTCATCTAAATTTCTATTAACAAAATGACCTTTCTGACATGCTATTTAATAATTACATATTGATTACAATTATCATTAGATAGAATATTCATTTTTGGACATAATATAACAAATATTTTATAAAATAATTTGTTATATACTAATTGTTATTAGACATTAATATATTTATTTATTAAGAGTATGATTACTAAAAATATATACAATAGTTGTTCATTACTAAAAATAAATATATCATCAAAGGTGCTACTTGAAAATTCAATTCATATTGTGTTATATGCCATACAATATATATTTATTAATCCTTCGATCATATCAGTGAGATTAATTTATATTATTTATTATTCAATTTTTTGAAAACTATTGCATCAAGTATATTTCTTATAAAATACATGCATTGAATCTTCATTTTATAAATAGTACTGAAGGAATTATTTGATACAAATAAAGTTATATAGTAATTGTTTTTACTTTTATAAGAAATTTTTTGTTAAAATTTTAATGTTGATTGATTCCATAGATTAAGGCTGTTTTAACTTTCTCTAGGACTCTTATCTTTTACTCATTTTGATCAACGACTATTAAGAATACTTATTCTCTCAATTAGAAATCTGAAAATCTGATAAAGAATATTTTAGTTCCATAAATTTATTCAATTCTTTGAATTCTTAATTGGAATTAATAAATCTTTTTATAATCACTACAAGTCCTATTTCTTATTACTAAATATTATTCTAAATTATGATTTCTTATTTTGAAAGATCTCAAGAAAAATCTTAAATCTTCAGAACATGCTTTTTCATTATTCCAACAAATTCCTGTTATATCAATAGCAATTTTAAATTCAAATTCAATCTTTCTTCATCAAAATTAAACTTAACAACAGGACTTTGGATAATAATTGGTAAAGTTTATTCTATAATTACTTTAATAAGATACTCCATTGTTTATCTGAAAATTATAATAAAAAATGCTCTCTATGAATTTAATAATTTTGATGTATAAATATTAGTATACAAAGAGTTTTTAATATTATTGATATTAAATCTCATCCCATAAACATGTCATTCATTAATCCAGTTATTACATCTTGAAACAAAAAAGAATATCAATTAAATAAGTGCTTCCTAAATACTTGAAACATAAAACATTATCATATTGAAAATCATAAAATTTTATCCACTCAAATTAATACATTAAGGAGTTGAATAATAATTAGCACGTATCTAAAGAATACATAAAAGTATGTTTGTAAATTGAAAAATAGCCTCACCTTCTCTGAAGATTGTAACTTGTAAAACCTACCTCCAAATACAGAATTCTTATTTTTCATCCAAAAAAGAACTAATCAACCCTAAAATCGAAAATAAGAGAATCAATATTGCCAGTAATTTTTTCAACCACAAACATTTCAATAACCTATCTTTCTAATAAGCCTGCTCAATTGTAGAATGAGTAAATTATAATGTGTACTTCTTTCTCATTTATTTTTTTGATAAATTTAATATA